TTGGCTTACAGACTATTCTTCTTGGTTTCGTTCCTTTTTTTGTTACTTCCCATATTCGACCTTGAATATATTGTGCACATTGAAAAGAAGTCCTAATTATCTCTTCTGTTCCGATCCCAGATTGGCTTGATTACAGCGCTCAACACTGACCACTGAACATATTTCTGCAAATCCTTATTGTGCAACGTCATTCAATAATTCAAAATCACACTAGGCAGTAATACGATTTTGAGCTGATGTTTGTACAGACGCACTGTGTGCATCTATGGTTCGATCAACAGACTTTGCCCAATAGACGAGGGACGGGGGGGGGGGGGCTATAATGCACACAGACAGGGGGGCGGAAGTTTCTCACCCGAGCCATATTCTCGCACCTAAATGATGTGCCTGCCAGGCACATCCGAGCTCGCTACAGTTACGAGCTCCTCAGAGGACCAAGACATCGCAAGCCCCGCCCCCTCATTTAGTGTTCGCTCCAGATGATGAAACCGGAATTACAAGGAAACTTTCAAATCGAAGTTCAGAAGTGAATTTGCTCCAATCAACGCCAAATTTCGAGGTTTTAGGATTTAGGGGTTTTCGAGGTTGCCCTTTTCAGTAGTGTGGTTTGTTTGTTGCAAAGTCGACGTTCAGCACCGATGATGCTTAACCAAGATTGAAATTCCATTTGGGGGTTTTCAATTTTCTATTTCAATACAAGACCAGAACTCAGGTTTATGGGTTCTCGAAATCGCTTTTTCGATAATGGTATATGTTTTGTGCGATATCAATAGGATTTTTTGGACAATTTTTTGGAGGAAAAATGTTCTTTTCAGCAAAACCCGGACTACCTTCACAGAATTGGCCAGATGCAGGAACAAGTATGTGATTCCGTAGTGTTTTCTTCTCCTGATTTCAATCTCAAGATATGTCAAGATACAGCGCTTATAATGACCCAGCCAAGTATTTCTTGAAACTTGATATGGCACAGGTCACTGTGGTCATCGAGGCTGGCTCAATGCCAGAAAGCTTCATAGTAGAAGTGGAAAGCTCGGAGTGGTGTCAAACATTAAAGAAAAACATCTTTATCATTTTGGAATCATTCAAACTTAAATTTGTTCTGGTTTTTAGGAAATTTTCAGTATTCTAAGACCCGCTAAATTACATGGAAAAGCTACGAAAAATGTAACGCTTACAAGCGACTGCAAGAAGAAAACATCACCGAAAAATGGTTCATTGCAAAAATTTAGTACTTTGTTGTTCAATTATTCATTTTCAAAAATTAGAATCAAAATTTTTTGAAAAAATTACTGCTTCTACTACAACCTTCCAACGCAGAATTACTTAATTGGGTCTAAGTTTTATATAAATCCATGCCACGGATGTTTTTTTTCAATTGTCCATTCATAAATTTTCGAGAGCCCTTAAACCTGAGTTTCGGTCTTGTATCAAAATAGAAAACTGAAAATCTCCAAATCCGAATTTCAATCTTGGTTAAGCATCATCGGTGCTGAACGTCGATTTTGCAACAAACAAATCACACTACTGAAAAGAGCAACCTCGAAAACCCCTAAATCCGAAATTTGGCGTTGATTGGAGCAAATTCACTTCTGAACTTCGATTTGAAAGTTTCTTTAAAAATCTGGTTTCATCATCTGGAGCGAACACTAAATGAAGGGGAGGGGCTTGCAATGTCTTGGTCTCCAGAGGAGCTCGTAACTGTAGCGAGCTCGGATGTGCCTGGCAGGCACATCACTTAGGTGCGAGAATATGGCTCGGGTGAGAAACTTCCCGCACCCCACAGACACACGACTAGTAACAGTACAAACAGCTAATAATCGAGTGCTGCTGACGGTTACAATGGTCAGTAGCTTGGTTAGGCAGCTGTGAGGATAATTCTTGGGATTTTTTTTGCTTATAATTATTTTGTAAAAAATTTCTCTCCACTTTAGTCGCTCAAGATGTCATCGCCAGCTAATGTTTGCTCAAAGTTCTTCGCAACCCGTATTAATCCTCTGTTGTTGGTAATTATCTTGTAATTATCTCAGTATTGCACTCAAGCATGCAACAGAGTAACAATGACGCAAAAGATCTTACTACATTTTTTGCTCGCATTCTTAACATAACGCTAGAGAGTAGACAATAAAATAAGTGAAGAATGATGAAGAATGAATCCTTAGAATGATTTTGGCAGCAAGCTGATTTTTTTTTAGCCATTTGAAGTGGGATTTGAGTGGTTGAACAATCTTCAAAGCATATTGAGATGAATGGCTATGGTAGTGACAGTCAAGAACCCTCGAATCTTTAGAATTTTTGGAGTCTGCAAGAAGGATACTTCACCCCCAAACACTTGAGATTTTGCTTATGAGAGCGAGGTGATCAGTTGTTGTATATTTGTCAAAAGAATGGCTGCCTGCTCATGTTAAAAGAGAAGTGTGGACTGTCAACAGCAGATGTAAATTTCCTGATTGTTTATTATGACTGCGAACAGCCGCGCCAATAAGACCTCCGAACATTCTCTGCAGTTTGATTTTTTAATAGTCTGTTTACTTCTATAATCTTGCTGTTCATCTTTTGCTCACTCCATTCAATCTTCTTCCACATTTGGTCTAAAAAAGAGGTTCTACAACGATAGAAAGAGTTCTTTAAACTTCGATCCCTTGTTCAAATTTTCCTTCTACTCTACCAAGCCAAGATTGACACAGTTCCAACGGTCTCACTTCTTCTCCTTCTTCAGACGGCTACTTCAATCGGCCATTTCTCGACGGTGGAACAGCGATTCGGGTGCGGTATGGCTGGCGTGTGTGTGTGGATTGTCTAGTTTGAAATAGGGGCTACTGCTGTATTTTTAGAGGCAAAGACGGACTTGTTTGTTTCGTAATGGAAAACTACAGTAAGCTCTCGTGGGTTCTGCACACGAACTCAATTAATTATGAGAGAAGAAGGCAGTTTGAAGAAAAGCGCCAGTGAGAGAATCCCTCTTCTTTCAAAGAATGCCCAATTCGTAGGCTGTACTGCCTTTCTTAACATCGCACATTCGACTCCTTAATGGGGATGGGGTCATAAATCAGGCCATAAAGTTTTGAAGATGAGTTTTGGCCTCCTCACTGGCAATAACAGGCCCTTGAAGGAGGTCTCAGAGAGCAATGGCATAATTAGTTGCTGTTTTCTTTTTCCTGGAGGAACGGTGCAGGAAAGAAATGAAGGGAGCGCTGTCGTTGTGCTTTGCACCTGCTGCTTTAACTTTTTGCTGAGTAGTTTTTCCTAAAGCCTAGTAGCGCCTGAATAGGTGGTAGCTTAGGTAATGGGCTAGGCAAGCTAGCATGGCTTAAAAGCTAACCGTAAGGTCGCTCAAGTTTTGCAAAAGATTTATATTAGCTTCTATTAGAAACGCCTTCCTCCCTCGAAAATTTGCTGGTGTCTAGAAAAATATGTAATTTCCACATCTGCATCTGTTGTGCCATGGATGTGTAGGAAGTGAGCGAGGAAAGATTTCTTTCTGATTTGTTCCACACATACACACGAATGTCATCAATCTTGCTCGTTGTTTCGTTCGCTTTCTCTCCGCGACTCTCTCTCGCCCCACCACCACCTCCCCCCCCCGTGTGTGTCGTCTCGAACCCCCCCCCCCCCCCGTGCACACTCCTCCTCACCAGCACTCCATTTATGCGTATGCAAATTCGCGCTATCTGACTGACCCGAACGGAATTCGCACCCCACCGCGATTGCGCACGGATCCACGTCGTTATTAGTTAATTTGAAGTGACGATTTTATTAGAAGACAAGCGATCGAACACGGTGTGAAGTGCGAGACGCGGATGGGCTGGCCCCGCTTTGCTAGTGTTTCATTCATCGTCGGGGAGGTGGCTCCGGTCATTTTGGGCTATGCTATCAGTGCTAAGAGAACGGAGAAAGAGATAGAGCAGCGCTTTCGGTGTGCAGTGCAATTTTACGTATTATCTTTTGGGTCGCTTGAAAGTTGTCATTGTCAGTTGCCATTCCAAGCTTTTTTTTTCTTCCAAGGCAATTGCCGCCACCTTCGCCATCTTGACATCCAATTGGACTTTGTGGTAATTTTACACTGTCTTCTCTCTCACGTTTTCTGGTCTTTCGTCCTATTTCTCAAATAAAAATCTCACCATATCAACACTTCCGCAAAAAAATGTTTTGAAAATTCTGCTCTTGAAATTTTTGAAACCTTGTTAATGGGGAATGTAGCCAGTTTACAGCTTGCAATTTACTTCTTCTTCTTCTAGTGCAACCAAGAGGAGACCAATATGCGTGTTACACCGTTTAGAGTTTTTCCACCTTTTTTTCTCTTTTCACCAGCAGTAAATGTGGTCGTAAACGCACAAGGAAAGTATTTTCGTGACCGTAACTCAGAAAACATCTGCTTGAACCCGTTGTTTATGCGCAACTGAGTTAATTCGATCATACCACTGTATTTTGATTGGTCTGGAGTTTTTGAATTGTGATGTTACTCGTCGCTTTATGTGTTTGAATTTTTTTTTCATATTTCATTTTTTTCGCCTTTCGAGTTTCTTTTTTTTCCTTATCGCGTCTTCGGCGGCAATGCTTGAAATCTATGACGATGTGCCATAAATTATCTTCAAGTCTTGCAAGAATTCAAGAAGCCTGATTACTTATTCCTTCAACTTTCAACTTTTTTCACGTCACTAGCTTCAGCGTTTTTTTCGTCACCTCATCACGTTCACACGAAATGCCCTCAGAGCCGGTCAGAAGCACTTCATCTATGAAATGACTATCGTTATTGCAAATGCACAACTAGATATAGCATGCATAGAGGTTTAGAGAGGCGGGATGAAGTGAAAGAGTTGATGCTCGTTAGTAAGAACATTGTTAGCTGGCTTATTTTGTCTCTGGAAAATTGCCTTTGAGCTCAGAAACGAAGTTTTCGTCCACTCTCCAAACATTGTTGCTTAGATTTCTAGTTCCTTCTCACTTCGTGTCTGTCTACTTTACTCACTTCTGTTCTCCGCTACCGTAAATCATTCCTTTCCAGGAGCTGCAATGCTATGTGGCCGGTTTTTGTTTTAGTCTTGCAGACGGTGTCTGCTCTACGAATGAGTAAGTTCTTCAGTAAACATTTTATTGTTTTCCATGTTGTTGTCTTCTTTACGGGCCTCACTTGAGTGGTTTCGCGCTTAACGCTTGCTATTAGGGGGGCAACCCCCCCCCTCGCTCATTAGCATAATTTTCAGTCTAATCAAAAACAACACAAGAACGTACTAATAGGATAATGCAGCGTCAAAAGCGTTCTTAATCGCTGCAAACCGGGAGAGAAGGACGGAAGAGATGGGGGGGGGGGGGGGTGGGGGGAGAGATGATGGCAAGGACGAGTTTGCGTGTCCTAAACATATTGCAATTCAATTGTAAAATCAAAGTAAACTGAAAAAAAAGCTTATAAGGCGCGCCTTGGAATGATTTTTTATGCTAAGTTTTGAGATAAAGAATTGATTAAAAATTTTGAAGCTTTTTCAGTAGCTTTATTTCTCATGGCTCTCATAAAATTCCCAAAAAATCTTTCATGACTTTATTTCCCTTTGCTCGAACGCACAACCCAATACAACATCTTGTCCTATGTTTTACTGAAGCTTTTCCTCTTCGTAAAGTAAGCGAATTAATACGCTTCACTTTTTTCTGTTTTGATAAATCACCTCCTGAACAATCACAAAAGGCAATTCTTGTTTTTCAACCAATAAATCTCTTTGTAGATAAGCTTTTATGGGCCTTGAAGAACCTTGTATCGTACGAAAGCGAGATAGCGTTTTCGAAATAGCAGTTTTTCTAAGGGGATGGAGAAATCCAAGCAATTTTGGTATAGTGCATTTTTTCGGTTTTGAATGAAATACAGCAAAACAAAAACTTATGGCGCTAGATTCTTTCAGTTTTGAAAAGTACAATTTTTACTTGTGATTTGCTTTTCGAATTTTCACAAAATTCCTCGTTTTTCCTTTTTTTATAACCGTAATAACATCCTGGCACTCGGCTTAACAACAAAGCCCATAAGAACTGCTGCAAATTCATCGAACATGTTTATTTATGATGGGGCCCGATCCTAGCGGCTCAGCCATAGCAGCCGCCGTTCAGTTAGCCGCGGCTAATCCGGCACAATTCGTCTCTGCCAAAGGACCGACCGCAACAGACGGGGTCCAGATATCGGATGAACAATCGCGGATGGCGCATAAGTCGAGAACAGTTCCGAGCAGACAGTAAGCTCCGCAAAAAATGTGGCGCGACTTCCGAAATACAACATCTGGGACGCATGTGGAACGCGAGCTGAGCTCGTGAAAAATTGCGCTTTTTGCGATGGACGAGTTACTGCAGCGTTTCCCGACTTTTCTATGACTTCGTAGCTGAGCAATGCTCATTTCTAGTAGTAAGAAGCACAGAGATCCAGGCTGAATCCCATGCTAGGATGAGTTGAGAATGGCGTCTGCATTCAATATGTATCAATTCCTTTGAAGCCACACTATCACAGCTGATGAGAATTTATTGACTTTGCACCTTTTACACCCTAAAATGATTAGATAACTTATCACTACCGTTCGATAGTGCTTAGTGTTGACGCGCGCCGGGGTTTTAGACAAACGTAGGTAACGGGAATTGAGAAATTGTTATGTATAATCAAAAGTAGTCGTGAAAGAAAATTAGCAATCACAAAGAGGGCGAGTTTTGATTGAAATGTTGTCAGAACCGATTTTCAATTATTGTGATCTTTCTTAGTAAGGAAGGACAAGCGTTTTTATCCAAAATACAGCCGGTTTTGTGGCTCTTCAAAAATAATTAAAAGCAATCAGATGTAGACCGGTTTGAAATGATAAACTTGGAAATGTTCCCTGAAATTTTTCTTATATTACCATGACTTTGATACTCTAAATTTTTGCACAATTTTCACTTTGACAAATTGGATTCCACCTCTACTTTTTTTTCTCCGACCTGCCAAATCCTTCCAGAACATCCATCAAAGAGCGGAATTACTGTTACACTGGCATTACTATGTCATCGGTACAGCCATGCGCGTCTAATAAGCAAACGGAGATAAGAGACATCTGCTGATTTATCGCTATTACTATAAACGTTCTCGCAGAGGAGAATGCGCGATTTGCGCACGCTATTGGGGACACATAGCATTATTACATTCTGGATACTCTATATATTACAGGTGAATGTGAGCCGTCAGCGCTTGGCATGGAATCCGGAGCCATAACGGACGCGCAGATCAGCGCCAGCAGCAGTTTCGACAAGCAGAGCGTTGGACCGCAGAACTCCAGGTGCTTTTTCGCCCATTTTTCGCCCAAAATATTTCGGCACTTTTTGCGCGCGAAATATTGTAGCCCGGCTGTAGATGAGTTATGTACCGGGCCGTAATTCAGTGTTACAACGTCTCTTGTGTGTCGGTGCCACAGATGTTGTTGGATCGGCTTGCATTTACGCGATAATGCATCATATTGAGATGAATTGCTATGAACAATGTCCAGCGGGGGCATTCGCGATGACGACCGAGACTCGGTTGTGCCGCGGGTCCCGGGTCGGGACGTTTTATAGTGATTGGAACAGGGCTTTGTGGAAATTGGGAAGCGTAGGAATGAGTAATGAGTCAGAGCGAATGACACATATGTCTTGGTAATGAAATTACTTAGGGATCACGACTAACGTTTCTTCGTTGTAACGAGCTGATGTCAGAAGTTCGCGGTTCCGCTTTGTTAGGAAAAACATTTACTGCTTGAAATGTGCACTCTAGGAAACTCCTGAATGACTTGTCAAGTGTAAGGTTGTTGTACTAGGCAATTTTTGCACCAAAAAATAGATAAAAATTGTTTTGAATTGCTTAAGCAAACTAATCAATCCACAGTACATGCTAATATGTATATCTGAAGTAGTATTTTATAGCACACTTTAGAAAATCAAATTGTAACAAAATTAACAAGTCAATTTAGAAAAATCGAAATTCCTAACTACTCGCAAAGACATCCAATCACCACCATCATCTCTTAGTCAGAAAGAGTAGGTCCTAGAACCAAGACTAAAAATGAATTCAAATCTACCAATTTTAGTGGCCAAAAATGGAAAATTACTTTTGAGGTATTTCTCTTAATCAGTTTATATCGATGCCAGCCCTCAAGAAATTTTGACTTTAGTACCCGCAAAAAGCGCAAAATTTTCTCTCTTTATCATGTAACAAGTCAAGGGATTTTAAATTTGGAGGAAAACAGAATTTTCAAAATTTTGGTGCAAATATGCCTCAATCTAATAGTTTGCTGAAAATCTTATCGTCATATTTTTCAAAATCTCTTGTGGAACATAGTCTAGTGCCCTTGATCTATTTTTTGCCAAACTTCTTTGCCCATAAAAGGGCATTCACGCCTTTTGCTAGCTAATTCAGGTTTCTCCACAAGAATAATTCGCCCTTTGGAAGAGAAGCTAAGCCGGACTGACACATAGGCTGTCAGGGCAAATCACTTTTTTGACTCCCACGAGAACGCGCTCTAAGCGTGAAAAGTCCGCAACTCTTGCACTCGTCATGTACATTCTCAAGAATCGAACATGAAAATGTCAGAGTTCATGCTAGCCCCCCCCCGCTAGAAACGCGCGCGCGCGCGGATTTTCGTCGCCTCATTAGCGCTCGAGCGGGCCGGGGTTTGCATGACCTTTTTGTTCATGCACACGCTACCTGTTGTTGGACGAGTGAACACCGCCTAGCGCTTTCACGGATAATTACGGGCAGTTATTAGCACCAACCTCATTATTCGATGCAAATATGCCGCGCATTGTTCACTCAGAGGGAACACAGACATATACATACTAAGCACTTTGCAGGATTCGCACGGAACTCGCATCCGGAGCGTGGTGCCCGAAACCGCAAATACACAGTAGCAGCTATGAGTTTCTACAGGTGAGATGTCTCTTTTGTACTGATGGTCCGAGCTGAGTGGGTACAAGAGAGGGTTATAATGGCACAGAGCACACAAATGTCACCCCCCATCATACAATGACCGATAACTCTTAACGATCCCGTCACCTGCGTTAACAGCTTGAAGAGCCAGTTGTAGTGTCGCGCTCAGGCGCAACATAGTTTGGCACGATTAATGACGCGTAAGACGAGGTGTCCGCATAAGCTACAACGGCTTAGTGACGGACTATCGAGGTGATGCCCCGAGCTAGTTTTGGGGGGAAACGACAGATGAAATAGTTAGACAAGTAAAAACACGTGGTATCTTTGAAGTATGACAAAAATGCAGAAAAATTGGGAATTTTTTGCCTTTGTACAAAAGCAAACAAAAAAATTTAGTTTTAAGTTTTTACTTCATTTCCTTTCATATTTAGGCTGAATACGATCGCTGTCTCAGTCATTATTATTATATTTTGTTCGGCAAAGCCTATTTGAACAACCTTAGCTTCTTGATTTTCACTAACATCCAGCGGGATACTAAATTTAATAGATTTTTTACCACCTTTTGTCTGCTTTTTGTACTGAGATATTGTTTCGCCCTTTGTTTTCTGTCATCTTGTTCTAAGCTTTTGTAGCATGCTTAGAGAGCATGGAATACATAAATAATAAATCAATAAAGTATTTGAGATAAAAGTTAATGAATATGAAAACAATAAATTAAAATAATTGAAATATTCTACATATACTGCATTTTAGTGACTTAGATGTGCAGACTGCAAAAAATGATATGTTGAACCTCTGCCCTTAATTTTTTCCGGTTTTCCAACTCAGCAAATTTTCTCCGTTCTTTTGGTGCACCTCGAGTGTGCTACATAAATGAAGAAATAAATATTTCATAAATACTCAGCCAGAGTAACTTTTATAATTGGTATGCGTTAGTTTGATATCTAGAAAATTCCTAGTTTATTTACAGTAATTTATTTTCATATAAGAAGCATGTTTGATCCTTCGACACCGTCTTATCCATCTCCGCATCAAAAATTAATGCTCTCGACGACATTCGTAGCTCCCCGATTCGCCTACCCAGACATCACTTCATTCTCCTGCATAATAAATACGACAGAATCATCAACCAAAGTGGTTTGAGTGTCCTCGATTTGAATGCCAGCATGTCATCAACCTCATTGCGATGTGCGCATGTCTGTGCAAATGATCACCTGCCACCACATTCTCCTCCTTCACTGTCCTTTGTTTCGGGCGGAAGGTGGTGGAAGGGAAGTTCGGAGGTGGTAGTGGAGGGGACCGGGGGAGAGGGGGGGGGGGGGGAATCTGTGACTCCGAAACCTAGCAAACAAGGGGGATAATCCTCTCAAAAGACAATCAAACCAATTCTTTTCTAGATAAACCTTGAAAATACATATCTGGTGACAGCTGTGGAAACTCAAGGACGATATGGCAACGGCACGGGTCGAGAGTTCGTCTCTGAGTATATGATTGACTATCTTAGGCCAGGGAGCAAATGGATACGATATCGTAATCGAACCGGACATATGGTAAGGAAAGAACTTTATCTGCGTCACCGTTCAAATCAGGCACAAAAAATTGGTAATTAATGGCGCAAATGAGTCACAAGAAGTCCAGTGATAAAACATGACCTTTCGCTCGGTTAATTGCTAATGATAAGCTTATTATGAATGTTTTTAGGATCATATTTGGCAAAAGAAAATTCTTGGCTAATTTCAGCATGTGTTAGAAAATTGTTTGGAATTGCTACAGTACTTTTTCCATCTAAACTGTCTCAAAATCGCTCTTTCATAATCTCCTTTTTTACCTTTAATGCTAGTGACAGCTGACAGCAATAGCAATTAACTTCGAAATGACTATTCAAATTCTTCTAGCGAAAAAAAAATTCTGCCGAATACCTGAACAAGCATCAACTCAATCAGCAAATGCATTTCTTTTTTTTTAATTTTCCGAACCTTTGAAATCAAAAGAGAATGAGTCAGTTTCTTTGGAACAATACTGCTTTCAGACCAGTGTATTTATGTGCATAGCCGAGATGCAAACTTCCACCCCATTGAATACGACGATGTTTGACCAAATTTAGCACGAAAGTCCCATGCATGAAAGATAAATTCTTAGTGATTTTTGACGAAAAATTTGGCGCGAAAATTTCATTCTGAAAATGGGGTAGATACTAAAAAAAATTACTTTAGCTGATGACGGGAAATGACGAAACCACAGAGGCTGTTCTACGAGTTCTCGATCCACCACTGGTAGCTTCTAGGCTAAGAATCGTACCACATTCGAAACAAACCCGGACGATTTGCCTGAGGGCAGAGCTGCACGGCTGCCTTCATAAAGGTCCGAGCTAAATTCAGCCACAAGATCCCACTATGTTCCTAAATCTTTGAACTTCAGATGGGCTGCTATACTACTCAACTCTTCCGGGTGGATCGCGTGTTGGTGATGTGGATTTTAGGGATCCAACTTTCGAGAGTAGCGATTTGTATACTGAAACTGGAATAAAGCGGTATGCTTCCTTTTTCCACTCTTTCATCCTATTTGTCAAATGCGTTGCTCGATAGTTTTTGTTGAAACGATTACTAACAATGGAAAGTTTGTAGCAAAAAATCTTCTGGTCGCGAAAAAACTTGCAAAGGCATTGAGGCGGAAACTTTTGAGGCGTAATTTATTCATTCGAAAATAGAACGGCTTAGCTTTGGCGTTCTATCAAATGTTGGGGAACTTGGGGGGCAGGAAATGAAATATGAATATGAAATGAACTCAGTAGTTAACTCACAAATATTTTAAGTACATTGTGTTATAGTTTTCCTATGTTGGGGGTATTTTATATTTACCTATAGACCTGTAATTTCGTTTTTTACTTTGATTGTGTTATTAATTTGTTGTTTTGGGGATTATTACTTTTTCCACGTTAAAACTTGATACATAGTACGGCAAAAGAAACCACATGGAGTGGACAATGGAAAAAATGTGCTTTTCTATTTTAATTTCTTTTTATAGAGGTCTGGGCCTTCTTAGCGATGGCTTCGTTTCCGATAACTCACCTTTTGATGAAACAAATCCTAATGGGTCTTGGATAGGATGGAGCAAACACCATACAGGTACACACTAATTCTATCAGAGCTCAAGATTTCAGAAAATATTTGCTTTGCAGACGGCACGGTCACGCTCCTTTTCGAATTCGATCAACTACGAAATTTTTCCGAAATTCTGCTTGCTGCCTATGGTCATCGCCTGAACAGCATCGATGTCATTTTCAGGTCAGAGCATTTCTAGTAAATCTGCTCTGGCAAGAGCAATAAAGACGAGCAGACAGTGGCAAGCACTTGGGTGAATTTATTGTTGTTAGGTTAGGGGGGGCACAAAAGAGTTGAGTTGCGCAAGCACCATTCGGACCGTACTGAAAGGAACTGCATGGATAGCTTGTTCTCGTCTTCGGGTTCAAAGCGAGGAAGGGGGGGGGGAGGGCAAAAAATCTCAAATATTTTAGCTGTGTGAGTAGAAATACGAAGTGGACAATTCTATAGATAAATTGCTAACAAGGAGATAATTACCACAGGATCCAAAAGTCCTATATTTTGTAAATTTTCTATTGTTTTAACTCGTAATGGCTTCTGTACTCGCTAGATTATTATGCTTTGTAGAAAATATGCTTCTGAACCTATTCTAATCAAACTTGCTTTATCAAACTCAATCGTTGTACTTTTAGTCAAGATGGGACGAACTTCTCATTATCGTCACAAATCTCTTCCTTAAACCGGCCTGCCCCAAATTCTACAGCAAAGAGGTTGGATTGCTCTCTGAAGTTTCTCATTACAGTCTTTGGACTTCTAATGTCTTTTATTATACAGATATGATCTCCGTATTCCACTCCATAAAAGAATGGCAAAGAAAATAAGAGTAACTATCACTTTCACTGCGGATTGGCTGTTCCTTACAGAAATTCATTTTTCATCCGGTAAGTTAAATCTGTAATTTTTGCTCAGATTGAGGCCAAAAATTGCGCCAAGGGCTAAAAAATACACCACAGGTGCTTAAATACATTTGTAAATACTTTAGGTCAGTTACACGAGGTGCCGATAGGGTATAATCGTGAGTTAATCGAGTTCCCACATATACCAATACCGTGTGGTTTTTTTTCCTAACTATCCCCATTGTTTCTGCGTGACTGTCTCCGACATTTTCCCCTGACCTTCCTATTGTGAACTTATAGAAGATGGTAATTGAGTTTTTTTACAGTATTCTACAATGAATCTTTCTCAAATGTGGTCATGGAAGAGAATACGGTGCTCACTCGTAGAAGCGTCTTTGGAGTTGTCGGTGAGTAGCTTTTCCTAACCTTTGATTCAACTGGATTGGCGGCTGGAAGGCGGGGCTTTGTGACCTGAATGAGGTCGCACGCATCCGCGACGCAGGGCGTCTCCTCGCGCTCATGCTATCTGATCATTCTCTAGTCTTAACTAGATCACGAAGCCCCACCTTTTAACCGCCAACCCAGTTGAAGCAAAGAATAAGTAAAAAACATAGGCTTTGGAGGATTACGGTAATAAAAAGCTCTTTCAGCCCTCGTCGCATTGTTCATACTTTTGACAGCTATTCTATGTATCATAATTCTGATGAAACGAAGAAAATCGGAGGACAAGCTTGAAATATTCGAAAGAGACATCCGAAGAAATCTTATCATTACCCAAGTAGGGGGTAAGACCGCCACCGAGGTGCTTCCATCGCCATCGGCGCATCTGATGGCAAATTTTTACGCCTCGGACAAGACTACTAGCACGAGGTCTGTAAAGAGGATTACCGTATAATGAGATGATATCGGAAATCCGAAAAAAATTTTGCAGCCTTTCATCCAAAAGTGCATCACCGAAATTTGGACCAGCCACATGGAATGACTTCCACTTCCCGCCACCTCCATCAATTCCCGGTCAGTAATGTCTGTCAAAGCGTTACGCACTGACACCTTTTCGTTCAAATATGCAAGCAAATCCATCAGTGCTCCAGAGCAGCATAAGATATGAGAGAGTACGTTCTAGATGAGAGAATCTATGCGCAACCGATTACACTGCCATTATCGAATGGAATTCAAAAGGAACCTGGAGGTGGGACCACCATGAGGATGGCAAGACGGTCTCCGGAGTAAGCGATACAGTATCTTATGTAATCATCTACGCAGGAGAAAGCGAAATGCTAAAATTGCGACTGCGCGGTTCCAAACGTCTCTGAGTAGCACGAGAGAGTGTGTGGATAGATGATGCACAGACAATGAAACCGCGCTGCAACTTGTGCATTTCCTGCGTCGGCAACTTGTGCATCGCCTGCGTTGCTTTTGAGCTAACATAGATGGCATGCTAGTTATCAAGTTAATTTGATATGTTCAGCTATGTCGCTGTCCATCACTATGCCACCATACCAGTCCGAGATCAGTGAGTTCTTTGCTTCAAATTTTAGTGAAAACCTCCCCATCCGCTGGATATCGGATTTTTAGAGCCGAGAAGGTCTGTAAAATCTCCAGCTCCCAGCTATCCATGGGAGCAGAACTTGGTGAGGGAAAACACACAATCGTAAGAGAATGCGCAGCCCTCGGAATCGGTAACGTCGCCTACAAAACCATCAAAGATCGGAATAACTCACATGCTAGGTTTGCTCAGTCTTCTGAATTCCTTAGCGTGTGCCATAAATGTCGTAAGTGATTCCATGCATCATTTAGGAGTGCGCTTATGGATGAGATAAAGATGTTGGCCATTGCCAATCATCCGCATGTCGTTCATCTGCTTGCCACTGATGAGAACAATGGACTTGTGTTAGAGTTGATGACAAATGGAAATGTTAGGGAGTATCTGAGGTCACAACGGATACCTATTCCGTGAGTCGAATCAAAATGAAGAGGAGGATTGAGACAATAAAGTCTGGCATGAAACTTCGAAGTAAAACCTGTTCTATTCTTTAGAACAGCAAAGCTTCTCGCTATATGCGCCGACGTCTGTGAGGGCATGCGCTACTTGGAGTCAGTTGGAGTTATTCATGGGCATTTAACACCTAACAACATACTTTTAGATGAGAACTTGCGAGCGAAGGTAAATAAATACTAGCACAAGTTTTCTGAACCAATGACAAAAAAAATTCAGGTCTCTTCACCTCGTGGGCCAGCACATCATGCCCAACTTCGATATAGCGCTCCAGAGAGCATCTTGAAGGTATAAAATGGACCAAAATTTTTTTGAAGCTCAAAAACAAATACTGTATATGTTTTTTTGCAGAACTGCTTCTCGTCCCAGTCGGATGTTTGGGCGTTTGCTGTATGCTGTTGGGAAATAGCTGAAACATCTTGCACTAGAATACCCTTCGAAACATTTTCAAATTCTGATCTTGTCACTAATGCCCAACTAATGCTCAGCGGACAAGAAGATGCGGTAATTTTTATATATTCCAAATTATAGATTTTTTCAGCTCTATTTCTTTACTTTACAGGTTGTACCAACATTCACAGAAAGCGTTCCACGAGGCGTACGAGATGTATTTATTCGATGTTTTGAAGCCGATCCTCAAGCTCGCCCATTGTTCTCTCACATATCATACTTTATGAGCAAGTATCATGCTTCACTAGATTAATTTCTATCCATGGCAATTCCTCGCTAACAGGGGAGCAAAGCTTTCACATGTGATTCTCATCATTGAAATTCCTTGTGTAATTAACTTGCCGATATGTCAAGCATATGACTAGGATTTTCGAAGGGTCGAGATAAGGAGCGACATGCCTGGTTGCACTTTTTTGTGGTCGTTGGCCCTTTTGCACCACTACAGTATACGACGTATGTACAAAAAGTTATAGTCGAGTTGTAGTCGTGCAAGAGGTTCTAAAAAGAGTTCGAAGTTAGAAGAGTCGACCATGTGGATTAGATATCCTAACATGTTCTCCCGTTGTCGATTTTTCTTCTGAGGACTCACGATTTCGGTGCATTATACTGTAGCGGTGCAAAAGGGCCGTTTCTAGGTTTCGTGATCTTCACCTACATCAAAATCATAGGATGCTAGCCAAAAGCCTGTCGTTCCTTACCCCTCCCACTCCTAGTCCCGAATCAGACTAGGACTTCGTTGAAATTCGTAAAACGGTGCCTTACCGTTTCATCGCTCTCTCCAAGCCTCCAATTTTTATCTAATAACCCTTTTTTCTTAGCACATGTCACTGTATGCAAAACTGCCGAATGTTTCTTCGCTCACTCTTGGTATTACTGCTATCACATCATTATGCGGTTCAGTTGATTTTAGCATAGTAACTCTGTTATAGTATTGTTCACACACATTGTTTCCATTCTTCTATTCACGTGTACGTTTTGTTTCAGAAATTTTTCTTGAGGCAAACACTCGCCGAAAGGCCCTAAATGCAATACGAGTATTGTTTGTAAAGATATCTTGTCTTTTGATGAATGAAGACTACCACATATTAATCTTTGTACAACTATCCACAGGACCAGAATCCAACCTCTTTACTTCATGCGAATTTATCTTGCTGTGTGCTAAAAATCAGCTGAATATTTTTTTGTGGTAACCGCTTATTGGCAAAATTCACAATGATTGTTGAAAGCTACAGTCTGTATAACTATAGTTATTTTGGAAAGTTGCGCCAAACAAAAATGTCTCTTAAAGTGCCTTACTTCACAATGCTTATGTGATATCTGAAATATAACAGGCATCTTCTTTTTGTATACTGATTATTATAAAGTTTGAGCCTCATTTTCCGACAAACACTTGAGTCATCGCCGATAAGGGCTAATTTTCTAATCAAAAAGATTCTAACATACTTATTTAACATCTACCTGAAGAGAATCCACAACTGCACAAGTTAAATGTTTGAGGTTTCTTTTCCTAACTAATAAACTAATAACTACATTTGATAATCTGCTCATAAACTTTCAACGGCATTCTCACTTCCTTCTGAAGCATTTCTAGGTTCTTCAGTTGGCGTTTTCTTCAACCGCGAGTATATGAAAGCTGCCAAGAACAAAGCTGCCACTGCAGCAAAATATACTGCATAGACAACGAACTGAAAAAATTCAATGAAGCGAGTTTAGCAAAAAATAGAAATTACCTGTGTTCTCATAGGCAGATTCAATCCATGAGAGTCAACAACTACAAGTGTTAACAATGTTTGCAAACCAACAGCAACGAAAGTGTTCCAGCCGAACACAAGACCATAGATGGTGGATGAAAGCTCTGTTGCGATGTTGCAACTGAATAGATAAAATATTTCCCCAGAATAAAAGCAAAGGAATTGCCCATGCAAATCTTGGAGCCGAATTTTTTATGTGGCTACTAATTGGAAGTCTTGACTAACAATGAGTCTTGGCCCTAGCGTCAGCTAATATGATTTATGCGTGGCCAAAAGATACAGCTATATATTCCCATGGAAAGAGTGCGGTAGTGGGCAACACTTTGGTGTTGACTTTCTCGGTCATAAATGAATCTTCTGAGCTACCGTTTGAGTGATGGATTAGTTATGATTTGTGGCGGCTCGGTGTGATCAGCACCTTCCGCAAGTGCTCGCCGCGTCTACGCTTAAAGGCACTCTCCACCCTAAGTTGTGGGTGTTGAGCTTTTAACGTTATATAATAGTAGGAGCCCATATCATGCCAATACCCAAGTCGCGGCGCAAAATGCCGCTTCGGAAGCGAGAAAATCGCTCCGGAATAGCGAAGATGCACGTGGACCCCCATCCATGCCCGCCCCTCCCCACCCATGCCCGCCCACCCGTGCGCGCCCAGCCAACCACCGTTCCGGAAAGCCGACCTGGAGATTCTCCGCAACGGGGATTATTGAGGTTTTCGCGGATTCTAAACTTTATATTCGGAATCAGGGACATGAGAAGGCCCCGAAACAATCAAAACATTGAAGTCGAGAATCTGGGTGGACAGTGCCTTTAACTCCCTTTTGTCCCCTACGATGTCGCGCGTCCGTCGAGGTTCATGACGCCTCAGGCCGCTGCCGAAACTACCCCCTACCCGCATGAACGGCACAATAAATAGCGCATAACGCTGAGAAAAGAGGACCGACTAATTCAGATTACGTTTATCTGCAAATACACACAACAATAAACAACTAACCTACTAAAACTACTAAAACTACTAGAACTACAAAGCTACCAAAACTACTCTAAAAATCAGGAAAAAAGATAGGCACGGGACGTGCCGCCTGGTCCCGTGTTGCCGATGCTTGGTGATAATCGCTCCAACACGTAATTCCGGGTTCTCCGATGAGTCAACCGCAAGCCCCTAGCCCTTCCGGGACGGTGTGACCCCTCTCCACTCCCGCTAGTATAGTTCCTACGCAAGACGAACCATGAAGTTTAGCTGCGCGTCTCCAAAACCAAGAAGATGACAAAAGCTCAACCGCTCGAAACCGATAATCATCTGCGGGAGTTGCTGGAGGCGCTGCCAGCACGAACGATATCATAAAACGATCGATACGAACGGAAATCGAAGAGGCGTAGACCGCGGCCTGCGCGCCCTTACTTAGCCTGTGACTTGGCAACGCGCCCAGCAAGAGAGGTCTTGGCGCGAAATTGATAGCGCGCCAAGTAGCGCGATAGCCAGCGCTCCCGGCCTCCTGTTTCGAGGAGTGGCTTGCATCGCGAGCAGCGACAGGACTCTTCAATCGTTTCCACATGAGAAAAACCACATACTCAGTTCCCTAGATGATTTCCAAGCCTTACCTTGCCGCTGTGATCAGCGCATGGTAAATGGCCGTTACTAGAACGTAGCCTATATATGCGAGTACCACGTATTTGGTCTGTGACACAACCGCTAAGATAACGGCGATAAGGCTTGAAGACAATGCTAGTGTTAGTTCTCCGTATTTAATCCAATCGATAGCTGCGAACTGTATGGCGAACGCCATGACTGCACCTGGAAAATATTATATTGGGATCATTTGAGAAAATTAACACCTCTAAAGAGAGAAATATCTTCCACTCGCTTCGCAGACTCCGAAAAGTAAAAGCGCAAGAATCTACATACTTTTCCTCTTTTTTTCAGCAAGACTCTCCTAATCAACGAAAAATCAAATTCCAACTCACTCATTAAAGTATTCACAAACTCCGTCAATCCATTTTCGGCCTTATTTGGATCAGGTTGCATTTCCAGCCATAAGGCTTGAATATAGTTGAACACCTTGAAGCACAAATGGATAAATTTAACTGATACATAAAGAAGCCATATGTACCTGAAATATCCCGCAGCTTGCTAAAGCCCACCAAATCGACCACTTTAGCACAACCAAATTATCCTTGAAAATGCGGAAATTCTTGATAGTGGTCAATAAATAATTGCGAACACCTCGTTCAAGTTTTCGGCGTTCAAATTCGCCTCGTCTGCAAATTATTTCAAAACAGTAGCCTTTTTGCACAACACGAAGTGGTAAAATGCCCACGTTGGATTTTCTAGACTTGAACTTTCTTGTGCCCCAACGAGTTCGCTATGGACTTCTCGTCGTAACCTTGTCGGTACCCGTGGCAGTAACAAAGCAATGCAGAAAGCAATAAGAACTGTAGCAAGTGAGATCTGAAGAAATGGATAATTTACTGAGAAAACGCTGAAAATTTGCAACTTTGACCTGATTCAAAAGCAAGTAAGAACCTGTTCCAGTCGATACAAGAAACTGCGCTAATCCATAGGCAAACAATTTTCCTATGAGTAGCGCAGTACGTATATATGAGCTGCACTTTCGATACTGTTTCTCGTCCACAACCGCATAAATATATGAGAAATACGCTATTTCCGACGCTGAGGCTAGCCCTAAAAAATTCGGAAATGATGCACAACTGAATGTCAAAGAGTGCCCATAATAGTCTAAAAACTTTCTGCACTTCGCATCTCTTCTCTCGGAGCTCTGGTCTCTCCTCTGAATTTGGTTGGGCGGGTTCTACCATTATTACTACCAATACATCCGCTTCCAGCATATACAGTTGCTTATATTGAATAAGAGCATTTTTGCTAAGAGCAGGGGGCATGGGACAGGCTCCATCGAACCTCTACACTTATGATGACTCAATACTTGCCCAAACAAGCTAACCCCTCTATCCCCTACATCTTGCGGGCTGGACTTGAGCTGATTTAGCGAGGTGTTCGCCTGTTTTTTGTTTGTTGTTGCTAATTGTTCTGTGTGATGCTTCGTTTTTTGTGTTAGTTAGGCACGCCTTGTGCGTATCAAATACCCTAATTTCACGCGTACAAGGCGCAGGGGATTTTTTTCCAAAATTGACCAGCCCAAATACGCCAAAGAACTTCGCAACCAAAAGACCCTATTCCTTGCTGTATATTGCTTAAGAGAATCGTACGGCACAAAAATCGCTTTTCGAAATACTTTCAAGCGGCTGAGGGGCTTGGTTGAAAAATCGAAAAAGGTGCGCCTTGTACGCGTGAAATTAGGGTAAATAAATAAAATAAACCTGACTCCTGTTTAGAGATCGATTAGGCCTTGACTAGCTCATCGTCGAAAAAGCTGTCCAAAGAGATTTTCTCTAGCTACTGCCCAGAACGTACAATCTACTATAACCGAAGACGCTGTTTGTTTACTTGGAAGGAGTACGGTACACAAAGTCTAAATTTTACTCTTCAGCCTACGATAAAATCAAATGAGTTGCAGCTCTGACTCAGTTAGACTTTCCAAAAATTCCTATGAAGAACCGAGATACCTAGTTTGTCTGAGCACAGTCTCTAGAATTTTTTTTCATGAAGAAACCGCTTCCACTCTCCCGCTGCATAGTTGAAGAATTGCAAAACCCACCAAATACTATTTGCATAATTTGCATTTGCACTACTCCTTGACCCCAAACGAGCAGGCCCCAAGTCGCTGTCAAACAAGCTCCTTCCAAAATTATTATAGGCTTGTAGCGAAAAATGTCAGTAAGGAAAAAGATGGGGACCTAAAGCGATGGATTTTTGCTGTTAAACTTATGATAAGACCTTACCAAAAATATTAGGAAGGAATATGTCCAAAAAGGAAATATTTGTCCATAGACCTCATCTATAGTGAGGTTCTTGTAGTGAGAAACGAGAAATGGTGTCAGAAATGGAGTAGCTGGTCGAATTTTCTTCAGTACACCATAAGTGCATATTAGAGCTGTAGTTTCCTTCCAGTGTGATGCCATGTGTAAAATAAGAGCTAAAGAAAATGTGAATAGTATTTGAAAAAACGACGAAGAGTAAATCTAATTGAGATGGAAGAATGAGCACTCTGTTTACCAGAGGAAATTTCTGAGTTAAGGAAAGCGGGAACGAATAGATTCGGCACGCAGATGAGTAGCTGCGTTACTACACTAAGGTAAGTACTCCTCGTTCAGTAATGAGGGTACTGTACTCTATATAGTCTTGTGTGATTGCACAACTTTTTGACTTTGTACCGGCAGATGTAGATTCGAAGAACGAGACCATTTTTCTGTTTTGGGTAATCGTCTCCTCCTACCTTTTTATGGTTTTATAGGGTTTCTTAGTTGTGCGTGCTATTAACACCGACTTACTCTGTGTATAATAGAGTGGTGCAAATACACAAAAGTGGAATGAGGACAACTGTGTACGAAATATTACTACACAGAACAGCTAAAACATAATTTTATGGACCTTGCGAAATTGAAATAAATAAAAATTGCAAGATACTGATCGCCATATCAAAAGAAGATGAGAATAGAGTTTGAAGAATTTCGCAAGAGCAGTGATTATATTAAGAGCATTATAATAAGAACATTGACTTTTTTCAAATCAAGAACCAAAAAACTCAACAGATGTAGAACGAGAGATAGCGACAGAGGGGAAGAACACGTGAAAAGCTTGCCCTCTCAAAAGATTTAAGACGTGCAGAGCATTATATATCAATTTACGCAGCTGACATATTGAAAAAAAAAACGAAGATTTATGGGCTTTTTTGGCTAACGATTCAACAAACAGTTTGAAACATCTCAATGACTTTCAAGGTTGAAAACCTTGTCTGGAAGCAAAGAAGATCATAACAGATGCTATAATGAGTGTGAAAAAACTTTCATGAGTGTGACTGACGGGAAGCAGATCCGATAAAGAAGCTTGCTCAGCAAAAAGAAATCTATTTTCCCATCCGAAAATAAGTAAATCCGAAAAAAAAAGCTGTGATTGTTTAGCTCTTATCGTGCTACATTGTCGTTGCTTTGTTCATAATTGCTTCTGTACGCAAACATAAACTAACGTTTACGACATGACTATAATATAGCGTTTTTTACGAGGAGGAAAGACAAAAAACGTCTTGAATGTCGATTTTCTGCACTTAGTGCACGCACTATTGCACTAGTTTTTTACTGACTTCCTTCGCCCATTTGTATAATCCACTACCAAGTCTGTTTACTTTTTGCGCGTGGATTCTTTATTTTTTCGTTTTCTGGCTCAGGGTATCTAGTTTAGTTTACTCGTCGCAATGGGTTCATATTTGGAATTGGCGCAAAAGGTGCTAGTCACAGTTACAAGATTATAGAAGTAAAACCTAAATCGAGTCGTTACCGTAACCAAAGCAAGCCGTAAAGTTAAATGCGAGCCTACGCACTCAAGCACTCGCACCGGCCGGCGACCGTTCAACAACCGGCCGGTCCGTCACCGACATTTCGGCCGGAACGATCGCCAGCCGGCCGCCAGCCGGTACTCGAACGGCCGCCACTCAGATAATCGCCGGGGGCAGGCGGCCATGCGAATTTTAAGCAAACGGGCACCGGAAAAATAGTTCGCTGATTTCTTGCGGCCCGCTTGCAGAAATTTGGAATAATTTTAGCGAAATTATAGACGAATGCGTGGAGAACAATCGCGGTTTTCTTATAGATTAGCTGCGGCGCAGTGGCCGCATTCTCGCGGACTTTCCGCGAGAATATGCAAAATTTTCGGGGGCCGCGCGGTCCTTTGTGAAGGACCGCGCAGTCCCCAGGTGCTTTCCGCTGAGAGAAAGTACCTCAAACTTGAGTAATTAAACCAACAGTGACACCTCTGTCACACAGTCTTACTTGTGCTCGACGTACGCCCGATAATGCGTAAAAAGAGTCCGAGCGCTTGCTGAAAGTTTGGCCAGCGCTCGCTGAAAGAAATTATTTGCCGAGCGCTTGCAAAAAATGCTGTATTGCTGCCCGCTGGCAGAATATGCGACTGTAAAGTAAGTGCCGCCCGCTGAAGGTTTGGCCACGCCCCAAAATTCTGCTGACCGCTTGCAGAAAAGCGCGAGTTTGCGGACCGCCTGCCCCCAGCGATTATCTGAGCAGCCGGTATGCGTCAGTGGCGCACCGAAGTGGCACTGGGCCACAGTGTTTCTTTCTCTAAATTCTAGCTTTCAGCACTAAAACCTCAATACAGGGTGGCAGAATCTACATGGATATATTTATTATATTATACCATAACAATATATACAATACGAAGAATCATTGACGAAAAAGAATGTCAAACAGATCCACGAAGAATACATTTGACTACAAAGCTAGCAACTTTTTATCTATAAGGAAAGATCATTTGAAGCAGCAGGTTCACACATTGTCGGACAAGCGTTCCGAATGCGCCGGTGGGTCACAGAATGTTCTAGATCTTGTACTTTTGACCGCACACGTAAGCAACAAGTTGCATTCGACGATCTGAAAATGAACAAACTATTGCCAACTTTTGACTGACACCAGAACTTACATGGCACAGAGTTGCAATATGTTTGTTAGCAGAGCAATACCAAAAAAATAAGCATTACAGTAGACGATTAGAATGGATGATTGTAATCAGTCTCTGGAAAATAGGCAACGCATTCTAACAAGATATTAAAAAAAACTTTTGGCGTGGGTCCAGCAACCGTGACCATAAGATTAGCAGAAATGCGGTAGGATATCAGATAGCTTTCCGAACCGTAAATGTTGTCAGCATAGTAGCAACTGCCAGATGAACGATATCCAGATGAATTTTAGAATACCAACGATTAGAAACAGTCCAGAAATTCAAGAAATATGAATATATGAAGAAGCATCCATTAGGAGTAATACTCGATTTTACGAAAACAACTGGGCAGTCAACCATCGCTGTAGTTCCTTCAGAAAGACAAGAACGCAAACACCATACATGTTGCAACTGCCCCTGAAAAATAGTGAACATTCAATTTGTACTTCATTAGTTCGTACCCAAAGAGGGATGCGACACATAGAATTAACGTCGCAGCAAATAGGCATGAACTCACTGAACGTTCGGCTTTTTGGCGATTCAAGTCAAAATAAGCAGTTCGCCATTCAAATCAAAATAAGTTCGCCATTTGATTCAGAGTAAGCAAGATTATAGAAAAAAGAGATACACCGTTGAGTTTGATCAAATCTGAAAAAGAGAGTGGAATGAGCGGAATCATAATAATGGGTTACATCAACTATCAAATTCGGACATAGAAAGTGACGCAACCCAAGTGGAAAACCACAACAGTAACAAAGGAAAACCAATAAAGGAAAGTTTCCTGTTCAAAAAAACGCGCCCAATGTTTGAAATTATTTTCTTACTGTACGCGCAATCTTCTGCGCTTTCCGAGCTTTTGCACAGTGGAACGGACGCCGGCCGGCGTAATTTACTCGTCCGGTGGCCTGCCGGCATTTAGCTCCGCCCTAAATAATGGAACGGCCGCCGGCCGGAAGGCCGTCGTCGGCAGGTCGCCGGCCGGTGCGAGTGTCTGAGTAGTAACCCCCCATCAGGACATCTCTCTCGACGCGGCCGGGGGTGACCTCATCGCGCCTAAATCCAGCGTCCGGCGACCCATTGATAGCAAAATCCATACCCTATCATGCAGTTATGGTGATACGTTCCAATAGACATTCTGGACGGAACAAAATCGAGTCCTATGGTGTAGTGGCGAGGAGGTTGGTGTACTATTTGAAGGGTCGGAGGTTTAGTCCCGGGATAGCGCAAAGGAAAACGTTGCAGTGGCCAAAAAGTTTGATTTTCATCGGCAAAGCAGTTTTGCGGCAGTGACGTGCACAACCGTCCACGAACCATACATCGTACCTGATTTTCTTGCTCGCCTTCATCTATTGCTTCTTCTTTGTCTTTCACTCATTAGGTTCACTTTTTTATGAATAGTTTATAATCGTTTTATAATCGTGCGTAGGTGTTTAAATGAGTAAGCATACGAATGTGCTTACTCATACCATGGAAGCATACACGCTTATGCCAATATGTGACGCTGAAGTAGCCGCCGCAAGATTTCGATGCCAACCTAAATGGTAGAGTGGTGAAGAGGGTGGCGTGTTGTGCCATGCATATCAGGTTCGAGTCCTGCGTGGTACAAAGCGTTTTGTTCTGGGTGTGTAAGGACTTCAACATTGACTTTATTGTGAGCACACACTACAGAAAAATTAGAACTTCGAGAACTCGAACAAGTTTATTGCCATGGCCGTCGATTCCCAAATTTGATGGAATGAATATCTGAATAATTGGTTTAGATGGCCTCGCTTTTCTTCAGCATCCGTCAGCGGCGCCAGAGAAACGTCCGTTATCAATGCATCCATCCTTCCTCTGTGTTCCAGCAGAACGATCGCATCTTCTACTCGAAGTACAGATTTCGCAGAGAAGAGGTTAAGAAGATCGTGAGGATGCTCGAACCGCTGCTGCCGGATGCAGGGCTGGAGCCTTGGGAGATCAGCAAGGAGGACCAGGTTTGAACATCTTTTCATAAAGGTCCACTATAACTACTCTCTGTTTCAGGTCCTCATCACACTCCGCTACCTGGCCACCAACTACTGATATAGCTGACTGTTTCGGGGTGTGTCAGAAGGCTGTGAGTGATGTCTCACCCGGGTAGAGGATGCTCTCAATCATCCAATAATAGAGGCCCGCTTCCTTCGCTTCTGGCCGTCGGACAAGCGCTGGTGCTTGCGAAGGTCTCGAGAATTCGCTAGAATCTCGAGATTGCAAGTAAGAAAGTCACGAAATTCTTCGACACTTGGATAAAATGCTTTGTATAGATGTCATTGGATGCGTCGATGGATGACTAATCCGAATCCAGCGCCCTATCAACTTCGGCAACCACTACTACTGCCGAAAGGCATGTTGCGCAGTCAATATGATTGCGGTAGTGGATGCCAGGGCCCGCTTCATGTACATCAACTGTGGATTCCCCGGCATGCACCACGACTCATTCATATGGCAG